CGTAGCTCTATTGTAGCACACCTTGTAGATAGTGAGCATAAGGTTGATGTTAATACTGCATTTAAAATTATTTTTCGCATTCCTACTAATCTTAATTTCGCCCTACGAGTTCGTCTTCTACATACAGCTGAAGCAATAGGAATTCACCTGAAGAAGCCAAACCTGTGTATTTAGAAGAAATTTGAATAGCCACTTTCCTTGCCTTGACCATCGTTACATGAATGTATAAACCGGACTACTTCACCCTCCTCCGCCCAAACCTTTAAAATTATAAAAATTATAATTGTCCAAATTATTTTATTATTTTTTCTGGCCACTTCATCTTTAATTACGTGTTATCCTTGTAAAATTAATTTATTCTAACCATTTCTACCTTTTAAATGTGTATTGATTTTCTTCGTTTATTATCACCCGTCGCATTGACATGTTGACACAGACTAATTATTGTTAACAAACCTATCAGTGCCACTTGATTGGTAAACTGTTGTGTATTGTAATTAAAATGCTATACATAATATATTAGAGTAGAGCCAGAGATGAGGATCTAATCGAAAAGTAAACATTTCTTAGCTTAATCTTTCTGTTTTCATATTTTTGTTTCATTACTCAAGTAAATCACCTGATAATTTTTACTTTCAAGCAAAAAGTAGCTCTATAGTAGATAAAAAGGACCCCCTGTATAGACAAACAAGTACATTTCATTATTATTACTATTTTTTATATTTTGAAAGTTTAATTTATTGTACTATTTTTTTAAATTTTAACAGTCTTTAATCAAATGATAACTTTTTGATTTGTTAACAAGGATATAACTTGTTGAAGATACCCAGTGAAAATTTCAAAAGAGATTGATCAATTAACAAGGAATATTCTTCTTTTTGATAAATTCGTCATCAGGTTCTGTCTGTCTGTTTTCTACATAGAACTTGGCACCGATGTGCGGCAGTTCAAGTCGCCACACTCCCTCAATGTAGCAGACAAAGCAAGAGAAGAAAGTAGAAGAAATGCATATTAGAGACAGTAAACAGAGGTGTGAGACAAGGGAATAATAATAACGAAGAACAATATAGTTTCATTGGAAATCATTAGTCACAAGGAGTGGATGCATCTGAGCCAGCCATTGAGAACGATTTTGAGCCATGTCACCAATTGTCTCCAGACTTAATTGGTTTTTCCCGTCTTGAGGACCCGAAACAGGAAGTCTGCATCTTCCTACGTGGCGTAGACTAACTGTTGTAGATTTCATTGACTGATGAAGCCATGTACTGGTTTGATCACCACTGGCACTTTTCGAGCCTTGCCCTATATCAGCTAACATTGCCCATTGTCGAGGAAGGCGATGACTAGGCATACGTAGCACATGTCCTAATCATCTCAGTCGATGTAATTTCACAGCCTCGTCGATTGATTTCCCCTCCTTACCTAGCACTCGACGCCTAACCTCAATATTGCTCACCTTATTATACCACTTCACACGGGAGATAGAACGCAGACACCTATGATCGAAGACAGCAAGCCAGCCTTTTCATGTCTTCCACTCTCAATGGCCAGGTGTCACAGCCATAAAGGAGGACGGAGCGGACTGTTGAGCAGTACACCTGCCGTTTGGTCGATAGCCAGCCGGATATCACGTCTACGCCAGAGACGGCGTAAGCTGGCATATGCGAAACTAGCCCTCTATATCTGTGCTGAGATTTCGTCAGATGGTCAACCCGTTGCGGCTGATGCAACTTCCCAAGTAAGTGAAGCGGTCAACGTGCTCTACCACGTCATCAGATTCTACACTTATATTACCTTAATAATTCAAGAGTTATTGTTATTAACATCATCAATGCTGTTCCAAATTACATTCGCTCAATTCAGTTTATCTGAGAGATACAAAGGATATTTAACGGCGGTAAGCTATAACTTATATATTCCAGTCATATTGGCCGTTGCTGTAGGAACTTAATTTTTCGTGCTCGTGAACACCCACCAGTAGAGAAGTGGGACTAAATGAAGGTGTTGTTAAAACCATTAACATTTCTATATTCGGTCAACTTGTCCAAACTGGTCACAAAGCTTAACCACATTGGAGAGTCTTTCTCTATTATCTATCGGGTATCGAATAAACTACCAAAGGTCTGTAGATATCGAACATTTCAAACAACAGAGGCCATTGTAATTAGGCGAAATCAACTGGAGTTTTGAGTGCGAAAGAAAGGCAGGTCCAGACAATATTGCTATTCTCTTGGCCTGTTGTCAAGCCTATAAATTCATGAATTCTGGATTATTTCTCTTAATTTATCTGAAATTCAGTCAGTTTAGTGTTTTATTAATGCATATTATCTCCCCCCCTCTCTCTCTCTCACTGATGCCTTTGAAATGTAATCTGTCGACTCTATTGATTAATTCAATGTAATTTAAAACAGCATTCATGTTGTTAACGATAATTATTATATTATTATGTTTCCTTTAGTTCCTAGAGGAACATAGGGCTTCAGCAGAACGTCACCATTGCGTTCGGTTCTCTGCCAACGTTTTCACCTGGCTCCACGTCTGCCCACATGCTTTCATCTCCCCTTCACATAACCTCCTCCAAGTCACCCTCGCACTAACGACCAACTCGCCGTTTCTCATTTGAGTTCCACTTGAGCGATGGCCTGGCGTGTGATGTCACTTGATGGTTTGTTTTCTCAGAGTATGGCCAATCCATCTCCATTTCTTCCTGCTTATTTGTTGCACAATCGGTTCTTGCTTGTTTGGTTAGCTCCCAGAGATCTCTGTTGCTGATCTTCTCTGGCCATCTGATCTTGAATATTGAGCGAAAACAACTGTTAATGAAGGTCTGTAGTTTGTTTGAGATGCTCTTTATGACGCGCTAAGTTTCTGATCCTTAAAGTAACACTGACTTCACCTTAGAGTTGAAAATCCGGATCATATTTTTCATGCTGAGTGCTGTTGACCTTCACACAGACTTGAGAGTAATGAAAGCTTGTCTTTATTCCCATGTAGGTGGGTAGGTGAATGAGATTGCTTCTTTCAGATTCCTCCCATTTATGCTGATTGCTGTATGTTGTTGTTGTTTTTGCTGTTGGCCAGAAATTTTCATCAACTCTGTTTTCTTTATGTTCACCTGAAGGCCTATCTTCCCTGGATGCTTCTTCTATCTCCAACTTGTTGCTTTTCATTTGTATATCTTCCAATTTGTAGGAAATCAGACATATGTCATCGGTGAAGTTCAGATTCTCCAAGTTTTTTATGTAGGTCCATTTTATGCCTGTTTCTTCGTTGCTCACTGTCCGTCAGATTGTCCAGTCTGCCACAATCAGAAAAATCATTGGAGATAGTAGGCAGCCAGCCAGCCTTGTCTTACTCCCGTCTTCACTTCGAAGGATTCCGTGAGTTTCCCGTTGTGGATTACTTGGCATGCAGTATTGTCGTACAACTGTTGGATGAGATGTATAATTGTCGGCGGTACCCCTTGGTAGTGTGGTGAGAGTGGTCTACTAGCCAAGTGGTGGACAGTAATTGAGGTCAATGTTTATGTATCAAATATTAGTCATGTTGTGGTGAGAGATGGTTGCTGGCCAAATTGGTTGACAGTAATTGAGGTCAAAGGTCAAGGTGGACAGGCGGTTACAGTTAACATATAGATGAACTGACACAGCCACAAGAGATGCAAGGTTAACTTTGTGTGAGAAACAACCAATCAACAGACTGTATTTTCTACTAACATTGACCTACAATAATGTACATAAAAATCTATAAATACGTGTTGATTTTTCGTAATAAAAGATCTGTTGCCTGGCCCTTGTCTTCTGTTGTTACATTTGGTGTCGCTGCCTACCGACAAATGGAAAGCCTATGCCCTGCAGTTTTTGATGAAGACATATGGATCTTCGGGCAGGACTTTGAGGCTTATTCGCAGTTAAGTGGCGTTCAAGATCTGTCAGCGATAAGGCTGCTACTTGGGACGCTGCTGGGAGGTCGGGAGAAAGCAGCATATGGAAGTGTGAGGCGAAATACCTACGAATGTGCGACAGGGTCAGGCAAACAGTTTCCAAAGTGGGAAGGACCATATATGGTCACGTGGAGATGGGGTTATGCAGACACAATCGCAATGGTAAACACCGTTAAACAAGTGGACATCCGCAAGCGCCGAGATTCCAGACAGCAAGACAACAGAGCAAAGCCCCAAGAACCGAGAAGACCGAGCCGACTTCAGTCCAAGCTATTTGACGGGGGGACGAGTGTGGTGAGAGTGGTCTACTAGCCAAGTGGTGGACAGTAATTGAGGTCAATGTTTATGTATCAAATATTAGTCATGTTGTGGTGAGAGATGGTTGCTGGCCAAATTGGTTGACAGTAATTGAGGTCAAAGGTCAAGGTGGACAGGCGGTTACAGTTAACATATAGATGAACTGACACAGCCACAAGAGATGCAAGGTTAACTTTGTGTGAGAAACAACCAATCAACAGACTGTATTTTCCACTAACATTGACCTACAATAATGTACATAAAAATCTATAAATACGTGTTGATTTTTCGTAATAAAAGATCTGTTGCCTGGCCCTTGTCTTCTGTTGTTACAGTAGTAGCAAAGTAGTTTCCAAATCACCTCTCGATCGACGCTGCGCTATCGAAGGCCTTTTCAAAGTCAATGAAGTTGAGATAGGGAGGTTAACAATAATATTTCTTCAATTATTTTTACTGGCCTGATTTCCTCTCTTTACAGACGTATTTGGAAGATGTGTTGTCCAGCACACCGAGACCATATGTAACTGGTTTCACTCGCTTATAGTAGTCTTTGATATGTATTGGGCATTTTTCATGACCCTTCAGAAACCCCATTTAAATGTGTAGCTTCTATGAGAAGTTACAGAAAAGAGAGTAAGTAAGTACTCTTTAGTGATGTATATCCTTTTAATTGATCCGTGCAACTTAACTGAAAATAATATTTTCAAGCAATTTCGAATATTGTTATGTTGGTTTTTTTGTTGTTGTTGTCTCTTATTAGGCTGGTTGTATCTGTAAGGCGTTTAAATTTATCCCCAGTAGACCAGAAGAAGTTGGTGAATATTGGCTAGTGAAAAGAAGAGATTTTGATCGTAATACCTATCGTGTCAAATGTAAATGTAAGCATACACATGAAGAGCATGTAGCTGATCCAATACCATATCGATGCAATGCTAAAGGATGTAGTTGTTTAGGCTTTTCATCTGCTTTCCTGTGTGCAGCATGCGATAAACACTGGAATGAACATCAGACAGTCATTGAAACTGAAAGTGAACGTAAAGCTCAAGGACGTCCAGTGGGTAAGCTTTATTTTTACATGTGTATTTAAACAAATGAACAGCAGTGTGTTTTATGATTTTTTTAAAAACGCAACAGATTATGAATTTATTTCACTTGATGATATGGAAGAGTAAAGTTATATATGTCCAAACCAGGTTCACTTTTAACTGTTTGAAACAATTTTGGCATTGGGTATATGTGATATTCAATATAATAAAGGTTTTTTGTATCTAAGTGTTGTTTTGTAGGGATTTGATTGGTTACAGGATTTCATCATGAGCTGACATCAGCTAGAGAACCATTGGAAAACCTGGGAGTACTGGACAGCTGTTTCGTCCCAGTTTGGGAGTCTTCGTCGGTTCGATCCCCTGCCGGCGCACACCCGATATCTATGGTATGCCTGAATTTGGGCAACCGATATCCATGCTGAAAATTCCATACTTGTACTGAAAATACGGTGTGGAGTCAAGCTGTAAATCAAAAAAAAAACCTGGGAGTACTGGACAGCTGTTTCGTCCCAGTTTGGGAGTCTTCGTCGGTACGCACCCACCGGGATTCGAATGAAAAACAAACAGACTCCTTTAGGAAATGAAAGGCAAAATGGCGAATTCCCTCTGGTTTAAACTAAAACCAAAATCTTATGCACGTTCAAGATTCTACGGTCAGCCAAAGATACATAAACGCACAGTTCCATTAAGACCAGTAGTAGATTTCAACAACTCATCGATATACAACCTCTCTAAATACTTATTTTCGATACTACAACCACTGTAAAAGGTTCATACGATTTCAAATGCCAAATAAAACACCGAGGAATTGATAAAGTAGACATTATGGTAAGCTATGATATTAACTCATTATATACTAGTATCCCTATTACTGAAATTCTTGATATCATTTCCAGTCTACTAGAATCAGATACAACGCTATCACAAAGATGTTCACTAGATACCAGTGAAATCATTAAGAGCTTAAAATTCTGTCTAGTAAGTAATTATTTTACATTTTAACGGGAGTTTATATAGACAGACAAATGGTGTTGCTATGGGTTCATCAGTTTCCCCGATAGTCCCTGACCTTTTCACGAATAGATTCGAAGATGATTCGAAATTGAATGCAGATACACGTTGTCACAAACGAATAGATTGGGATATCTTGCACAATCAACAGCTGTGTTTCACAGTCGTAAGGAAGCTAGAGACGAAAACCTACTCAGTAGATATGCCTTTTTTGATGGAAAGCCGGATATCACATCTAGATAAAAGATAAAACAGGTTAAAATAATCTTGTGTGTCTGTGCTGGGGTTTTGTTATGAAATTAATAACAGTTTAGTGAATGTAATAATTGTAGTAATGACAAACGTTAGATTATCGTCATAAACAAACATCAGTCAGAGATCATTGAAAACCGGGGAGAACTGAACAGCTGTTTCGTCCTACTAGTTTGGGACTCTTCATCAGTATGAACCGACGACCCCACCAATGATCGAACTGTGGACATTCAAGTTATGAGATCGATCTCGTTGACCATTTATCAACTTGGATCGGGATTCAATCACCCATGATTTCTAACTTTTTCAACTCGTAACATACTGGCCAACGTACTGCTATACCTCGCCTACTCAACAGCAAGCCCAGAAAAAAGTGGAGATTGGATGTGAGTTTAGCAATTCCACTTCGTAAAACAAAACAAAAACTACTGAGATTTTAATGCTTAAACTTCGAAAGTTTGATATCATCTTGAAACACAAAGGGATGGAAAAAGTACTTCGATGGACTCCTTCACTAAGATCCAGAGTATGTGTACCGCAGATTCTATGGGCAATAAATCAAAACATTAGAAGGAAAACTAATGTCCAGTGAAGTTTTGAATCACTCTAGACATAGAATAGATTTGAAGGCCAGACTGTGATCTATCCCACAGAAATATATCTGCATTACATTGTCACACAAAGGCGAAAAAAGTAATCAATCTCTCTCTCCACCTACATAGATTACCTCTTAGAATCTTAACCCTCTCCCACCATGCTATTGTGTGGTTGTGTGTTAATGCACGCAGTGCACTTGCTGAGCTTTTTTCTAAATTGCTTATCTTTTTGGGGTCAACCATTCTTACCTTAGCTAAATTCATATGTTCCGACAATCTGATTACCCCCGACCTACTTGTTTGACCTACGTAGTTGACTTAACTCACAGTCAATGCAAGGTATTTTGAAAATTATATTATTTTGTTTAATTAGGTCAACAGGGTCCTTCAACCTACAGAGCTTATCCTACCTGGGTGAGTGTAGGTTTGAATGTCACCATAATTCCTGCTTTATTAAGAATCCTACGTAGAGAGGGTCTCAGATGTCCCCTCCTTATATAGTAGGACTGTAAATGCCTTATATTCTCTCTTATTTATGTTATCATTACTAGTTTCAACATAATTTTTATTTTTATTTGTTCTTTTCGATCTTCCTAATGAATTTTATAGGATAGTTATTCAACATCAACGCTTCTTCTATCTGTTTCATTTCATCATTTAGGTCTTTTCTTGTGCTACTTAGTGCTACTGCTCGGTTTGTTAGACACTTAATTAATCCTGTCTTTACAGATAAATTAAAGTCTAAATATCTATTAGCATAATGTGTTGGTTTTTTATAAACGCTAGTGTGCAGTCCACCTTCTTCTATTCGTTTTATTTTACAATCGAACAGGGCGAAAAGAAGTAGGTTGTTTTCTAGTTCAAAGCTGAAATTGGCAGTTGTATGGAATTATACTTATTATGAAACCCATGTTTTACTACAAACACCAAAACTTGATTACCGATTATGTCACGACCAATAATTCTCATATTGGTCCTTATGCGTATATATGAGGAAGTACATACATTAGGGAAAGTAACCATATTAATCAACTGATGGTAAGGTAAAATTCTTCTAAATGACTTAGGTAACAATTATATTCTGAAGATCTACATATGGTATATAACCCTTTAAAAGAATGGGGAAGATTTGTAGCTCAGGTGAATGAATTTTATTTAATTGTATTCTCTGAGCTGATTGATTTAATTGCGAAACTTTCGTCTTCCTTCTAAACAACATCGCTTCAGTGCAGGTTTTAGTATAAAATGAACTCATTTAAATTCTCTACGCATGATGATATAATTGTATCCACTGGCAACGATTTTCGTGATTGGTTGTTAATTTATATCTCTATTGATCGTTTTTATTGATTTGGAATTTGAACTTTCTTGTCATATGATTTATTTTCTAATAATTAGCTGGTAAATTTGGTCTGTAGTAGTAATGTGTTTGTTAATTGCTAATTCATTTGAGTAAGAGGGCTTCTAGAAATTCTCTGGCATTTTTGGTGGTTCCTCTGTTTAAAATTTCTACATTACTCCAATCCCTTTCCGTCTATATTAAAAAAAAACAACAATTAAAATGTATCTTCAGATCTGTGTCAAAATAGCTCTTAAGATTCTAAGTAGAAAAAGATAGAGTTTACATAATGAGATTTACTGGGACTGTGGACAGTTTGTTAAACTCCACTCGCTTTTGAGTATGTTAGGAAGGAGTTTTTTTATTTCATCTGACTTGGCAACTTCTTTTCCGCCGATTATATTTTCATTAGTAGTACCACAAGATAATTATTATGCTACTACTTTTGCATCTAATTCCCTCAGTTTTATCTGTTTTCGTAGACCTACAGCTTTAAAAAAGTCTTCTAAGAAATTAACTTGACAAATAATTGAACTGCGTAAATTTATGACAGTATATTTTAGATAAATCTATTAGATGACCCACTTGCTTTAAACTGACCGCTGATGAGACCGTGGGCGTGTACTGCTGAAGAGTCGTAGACGAGGACGAAGTTTTTTTCCTTCACGTTCCACAGTGGAACATAGTGCTTCAAGCCAGTGGCTTGAAGTTTCTGTAGCAGTGATTATTTTACAGGATGGGGTTGCTAGCCTCATGCCCAACCTTTCCTCTTCACCAGCATTATTTTTGGCTTTGCGAGGTAAAGTAGTGCGTCTGTGGCATGGGATCGAACCCAGGACCATGTGCATGGTCGGCGAGCGTCCTAACCGCTATGCCACCGACGCACGAAGTAGTTTCTTGTTTTTTCAAATATGTCTAACTGACATTACTTGATGATGAAATTTATCTCAAAATATTGAATTGGCTAATTCAGAGACCGCCGGTTAGAAAAATGTTCCGACTCAGATTTTTATTTCACTTTCTTGAGTTTCATACCAATCCGATACAAAATCATTTTGGTCAAATATCTCACCAATAGAGCAAGAAGGATATATACTGATGACTCCCCAGAAAAAGAATTGGGATAAATCCAAAATACACTGGTCCAAATGAGTTATCGTAGTAAATTTGTAAGGAAACACATGAATGCAGTGTATAACAAAGGACGACTGACAACAGTTAAAAAGAACTCATTGTTCCTGAAACTGAGGAACGTGGCTAATGAAATCCTACATCTAAAATTATCTACATCCATAAAACGGACTTATATTGCTGCCGCTCCTTTGTTTGTCATTTCCCAGTCAACCAATTATGATTGCCTAGCTGTGCCATTTCTATATGCATTTATAAGTTAAGCTAACCCTGTGGAGAAAGCTATATAGGGCGAACAACTAACCAGACAGCTCAATAAACGTATTAATGAGCATCTTCCTTCATGGTTTGGAAAAGGCCAAGTAAAATCTATTAAAAGTTCCATTTTGTCTGAGTGGATTGATAGCGGTCACCAAGCGGACAGAATTAGTGCCTTCAAGTTTACCTATCACATTCCATCGGACCTTTTGTATCCGCCTTTTACATATAGCCGAAGCTTTGGGAATTTGATGGAACAATCGTGGTCTTTGCATACATAAAAGAAGTTTATTCTGCCTTTTTCTCTCCCTTGGCCTATGTGAAGTTTAATTAAAACCCTCCCACCCTTTCTTATTTTCTATTACTTTTGTACTTTTATGATATTTGTTTGAACTCTGATTATCAGGCCATTTCACCTTTGGTATTACGTAACTTTTAACATTTATTTATTAAATTGTTTACAAAATCATGCTACTGTCAATCATCTGGCAATATAATATAAGGTTTCCATGGAAATATGAAAGATAATCACTTTTAAGAGGGTATTCTTTAAACTTTTTTTGAACTCTTCATTTCCATAACCAATGCTGTAAGAACCAGGAAATTGAAAACATAAGTTGCATAGAAAGGCGAAACAATTAATTCACATCAGTTTTACAATTATCCTCCATTTTCTGTAATATTTGATAAATATTTTGCAGGCAGAATGAAGGTGATAACTCTTCTGTTTTTGTAATACCGTTTTGTGATATTATGCTGTGTTGTTTTCACGAATAGGAAATAGGGCTTCAGACTTTCGGACTTTCAATAGCGTGGATACTTTTTTACAAGGTGTGGTTGTCATCCCTACACCCAATTTCCCTCTTAATACAGGCTAGCTGAAGTTTAAGAGTGTATCAGTCGGAGGTTGAACCTGAACCATTTATGTGGTTAGCAAACATTCTGTCACTAAACCACTGATGTATAAAGAGTTAGGGCACTTGGACCACGTTGTGATGTATACTACTTATAACTAGATATAAGTAGTGCATCAAGCAACATCATCAGAAAAGCAGTGATCATTTTTGTACCAATAGGTAAGTCACTGTTGCTCTCATCAGTATTTTTCTCACTAAAACAGTGAGGTAATAGACGTTTTATTATCAAGCTAGAAGGCTTATTAAAACAAAGTTAGTGTTGATAAAGTATGAAAATAAATATTCACTAATGAAACCATCTCACAAATTAATAGAAAATGGCAATTTATACTTCTCTTATTTAGGGAATGGTGACTAGAAGTGAAGTCTAAGACGTTTTTACGAGTTTGACCACGGATTGATATCAGTTAGAGAACCGTTGAAAATCAGGGCGTACTGGACAGCTGTTTCGTCCTAGTTTGGAAATCATCGGCAGTACACACCTACCCACAGCCAGGATTCGAACCCAGGACCTCCAAGTTACTAGACAAGCTTGTATACCATTCAGCCACTGGGACCCGATTCAATGGCCAGCCCATAAATTCTAACTTCTACCAATTCGTGATATTTAGCGCGACAAGCGCTAACTAATGTCATCGGTGGGATATCCATCCTCACACGTGAATGGATGGACCTCACTGGTCACAACTTCTCACTAGAACTGCAGGAAACTCTGTCCTGTATCAATTCACTAGCAAGCATCAGATTAATTTTCAAGAGTTGGTTTGTAAGTAATAGATTTGTTTTTCGAGTTTGACCACGGATTGATATCAGTTGGAGAATAATTGAAAACCATCCAGGGAGTACTGGACAGCTGTTCCATCCTGGTTAGGATTCATGGGTTGGCCTTTAAATCGGGTCCCAGTGGTTGAATGGTATACGAGGTTGCCTTGTAACCGGAAGGTCCTGGGTTCGAACCCTGGCAGTGGGTGCGTACTGCCGATGATTTCCAAACTAGGATGAAACAGTTGGCTGTCCAGTACTCCCTGTGGCTGGTTTCCAATGGTTCTCTAACTGATATCAATCCGTGGTCAAACTCGTATTAAACAAATCTAATCCTTAAAAACCAACACTTGAAAATAAATCTAAGACGATCATTTCATCCTATTCGCGACTTGTCATCAGCATGTGGTGATGGTGTTCTCATTGAGACTCGAACACAGTACCCATCGTTTCAAATTCTGAAGCTGGTCAGCCGCATGAATAATCTTAAGACATCGTCGAAGCTCGTGTCCTAGGAGACGAAGTATCAACAAAGACCGTTCATCTCCGTCCAGTATAATCAATCAATACAAGCGATACTGTGTTACTTTAATTTATTTAATAATAATAACAATAAATAGTTTCCTTCAAATTCCCCCCCCCTTTTTTTTTCCCCCAACTAGGTGAAGCATGGTTCCCATTTGCTGAATTACCTGAATTAGCTAAAATTGCTTTAACTGGTGTTGATAATCCTGATATTCAAACGTTGGCTGATGCTTTACCGCCAGAAACTCGTCAAAATTTCCTAGAACATCAGCAGCAGCAGCAACAACAACAACAACAGCTGCAGCAGCAGAAGAAGAATCAACGTGCCTTACCTGATCCAAGATCTAGAAGATAAATATATTCAGTAATGATAACAGCTTAGAATTTCAGCATATTGCTGACCTGATTCCTCGTTGTTTTTGCGTTTTTTGTGGCGTATTTTATGGTTTTATGTTTCCTCAGCTCCATTTTTAACTTTCAGATTACAAATGTGTGTCTTTCTTGCCTTTTTATCTAGTGATAATTAATTATAGATTTATTTGTTTGTTTATTTATTGATTTTTATTTTTATTTTTTTGAAGAATTAACTTTTTGTCAGTTTCTTTTATAAATATTGATTTTATTCACATCATATTATCCATCTTCATTGCTATGAATATAATCGCCGTTGTCATAATCATCAGCATCGTTGAAATCGTCGACCATCATCATCGTCATGGTCACCATTGTGATTCTCCCTCAGCTAGTAAAATCGAAACTCTGACTATAAATCAATAGTTGAGTGATAAAATTGATCGCAGAATTACACAAATCAGATAATTTTCTTAAAAAAACAAATATACACAGATTGTGAATCAGTTTCATGCCTTTTTAAAAGTGAAAGAATAGAGGGTTAGAGAGTGAGGTAGAAAGACGGGGAGCCTACTGACCTAATCATCTTATTTTATTATGCATACGTACTTTTGTCATTCATTATTTTACTCAAATTCTCATTTCCTTAGTATATTTTTCTGTTGTTATTCTTGTTGTTGCTTGTTTTAGTTTATTTCTCACGATAGAAAAGTGCATTTTTTCTAAGTTTATTTCAGGTGGGATTTCTATTTTTTTCATTTTACTAAAACACTTAAACAAACAAAGAAAAACCAAAATGAATACATTTTAGAATTTCAAGTTTCAATATGTATAATAATAACAATAATAATAGTAATAATAAAGAGTAGTAAAACAATGTATACAAATATTTACGTAACCATAGTTACCATAAGTAATTTATTAAATATACTTCCTTTTTCTCCGTATACGTAGGAGTGTGTCTCATTGAATTCAGCGTTTGATCTTGGTTTTAGGTTAGAATCCTACTTGAACAATTTTATGCCTAGATAGGATAGTATTGTGGTGAGAGCTGTCTGCTAGCCAAAATTGGTAGACACCAATTTACGTCAATGTTTACGTCTCAAATCGGGGTCATGAGAAAAAAACAAGAACAAAGACTAACTCAACAACCAATCACAGTAGACTTAACGTGGGCGGATACGATTCGCAGCGATATGGTCTGACCTTCACCAAAAAACGGCCACAAAGAGATGATAGGTTAACTTTCAGTGAGAAAACAACCAATCAGAAGACACTGTTTCTCTGCTAAGAGTAACGAATAATAATGTACTTAAAAATCTATAAATATCTGTTGATTTTCTCAATAAATGATCTGTTGCCTGACCCTTCTTCTTCTGTCGTTACAGTATCATCAGTCCTTGTTCAACAAGTGTATTCATAGCCAAGTACAATAAAAAGGTGATTCCAGTTAGTTAACTGAGTCTTAATAAATGATGCTTATTTCATTTGTTACATCTTCGTCACGAATCAACTACAGTTAGAAATCGCTGAGTACGAAGAATCGCCGGACAACTGTTTTTTCCCAGTGTGAGACTTTTCATCCGTGTGCACCCGCAACTCCACCCAGGATGGAACTCGTGACCTTCACGCCACCATATCAAGCTCGTCGACCATTCAGCCATTTGGGCGGCCAGAATTTAATTCCCAGAGAATTCTAACTGTTGAAATTCAATTTATTCAAATCTCCATGGATCCTATAATCAAGATAATATTTATTTATTGTGTTGAAGGGATTGAATTCCAGTCTACTGTATATATATTTATATGTGTGTTTGAGTAACTGTCATTTGTTGTTCAAAATAAAGTGGAACAATAGTCATGCAGTGTGATTTGAAAAGATTCATCGGTAATTTTTTCCTCGAATTTTATAAATGCTTGGAAGAAGAGAAGTCAACTGATAACGTTTATGTTAGTAGTCGTTTACTTTGTCAAGAGTTGTGTTTAAAAGGAATTGTAATGGGGACTTTTAGAAGATGAAGAATGTCGGCTGTTAGGCGTGAGATACACGATATGCAAATACAAGACAGATCAAAACATCATCGGAAATATGTCATGTATATTTCAGGATCAGAAGTGTAGATATATAATCATTGCCTAACTACCGGCTACAGTTCGTTCACGAACGACCTAATGTAACACAATATCATACGAAATGGACTGCTTGGATGTTTGACTGCGTATTTTAAGCTTCACTAGTCGAGTTAAACAGTGAAGATCAGCATCCAGTGCTGTTGAATGAAGAATTCTGTAGACTAATAATTTTTGGGAATTATTTACCGCCATATCTCAGATCTTAAGGCAAATGGAGAATACAATACTGAGTTACAAGAACCATGAAGGAAAAATACTTGGAATAATTTACGCAATCCGATACATTATAGATATTTGGGATTCATGCAAATGTTTCAGAGTTGAACTTGTTGCTTGTGTAGCAGCAGGTAATTCCATACCACAAGAGATCTCACTCCTGCCAGCATCACTCCAGACCTCTTTTACTGCTAGTGTAGCGGTAGTTAATTCCCCAGAGTTATTAGCCACAGCATTCATCAATGAACATTGGATGCTGACCCTCACTGTTTTAGTCGACTTGTTTAGCTGAAGGCTTACGGTCAAGCATCCACGTCATTTGGCACGTCATCGTGTTACGTTCATTTATTCGTGCACGATCCCTAGCTAGTTAAGCAGTCAACCTTATACTATGATCTGGCCCCAAAATATACGTCGTAATTTGGACGTTCAATTCTGGTGTTTTGCTTTGTCTTTAGTCTACATGGAATGAATACGATAAAAGTCGTATAAATCGTACTATCCGTAAACGTCAACATCCTCATCCTATAAACTTGTATACTGAAATGAATTTAGGTTATGTAGTCAGTTAATTTTTATCATCGGCTGGGTCTAATATGATGTACCTAGTAGCAAAGGACTATTACACTAAACCTTTGATTTGGTAGGTAGGCTTGGGGGGGGTAGATGTCTTTTGATGAAGTTCCGTGGATATCCATTCTTTTGGAAGACGTCCGTTTAATGTCACACAAACTCGAAGACTTAAAGGCGAAAACCAACAAACTGACAGAAGAGGCAGACAGCGAAGACAGGACTTCAGGTGGATGTGGAGAAGACGCAGGTGATGAAGATAACCACCACCAACAGCAACAACAACAAACAGCACCTATCACCATGAACGGGAGAGATTTAACAGAGGTTACTTTCTTCACTTGTCTAGGAAGCATCGTTTCAACTACAGTCACTCGGATAGCACGGATGAAGATGTCAAAGCTAGTCAGAATCGGAAAGGCAAGCAAGATACGCCTTCATCAACCTGCACTCGGTTAGCCAGCATAAAGAAGATTCGGATTTTCAGCTCTGATGTCAAGTCGGTCCTTCCATACGGGTCAGAAACTTGGCCAGAGTGTCACGAAAAGGATTTGCAACAGCTAGTGGCAGACTTTTATCAACAGCTCTCCACTTCGCTGGCTGGCTCCATACTGAAGGTCAAATGGCCGACCGAATGACCAGAAAGAATTAGCAGCAAGAAACTCTGGTTGGGAATAAACCAACCAAGAGCCGATCGCTTGACTGACAAATACGTAGGAGAAAATGGAGATGGATCGGGCATACACTGACTGAGGAGACCATCGAATGACATCACATGCCAGACCCTCGAGTAGAATCCCAGTGGGAAGCAACGAGTGGGTGATCAGTGCGAGGGTGACATGGATGCGGTCGTGTGTCGATGAGGAGGAGATGAGAGATTATGGGTAGTCATGGACCCACCTAAAGAGGACGGCAGAAGATAGGACAAAGTGGAGATGTGTTGTTGAAGCCCTATGTTCCAATAAGAACTCAAGAGAATAATAATACCTATTGAGTCATGAAGAAAATAAAAGACAGATTCAGCGAAGGAAATTTTCTTTGTCGACGAAATCATCTTCAGAGGCTGTACAATCGTATTTATACTTACAAAAATACATAGTGGTCTATTATTGAGTAATAGGGGGTGACATAATTGATATAATTACTCAGAAGTGGCTTTAGAAGTGAAAATTAAGAGTTGAAAATTACGTGGTACTCAACGGCAAAAAGATAGAAATTTGATAAGGTTAAAATTGCTATTAAGTGAGAATAAAGGTATTTGAGTGTCAATTTAACAAGTGTGAAGAGGGTGTGAAAATATACAAAAGGAGCATATGAGAGTGATAATAGTGAATTAATTATTAAAGCAAAAGCTAACTAAAAGTGAAATGAGAATGAAAAGAAAAAATCAAAATATATTTTATTTACAAGGAACGATTGGTGAAGACGTTAAGACCAAGGTAGAATGAGAGACTGGACAAACTTTTTCTGTATACAGAGGTCAGGGTTGTATTGACGAATTCCCAGCGCCTCCGCCATACACAAAAGCCGAAACTTGACGACCTTTGTACAATTTGGCCCCACCTTGCAGATGATCTTGAAAGATGACTCTGGTGGAGCTACTTGGCCGAAGTTCACCGAGTGCCCGAGAATTGAGCTAGTAATTGTCTTACATTGTCCTTTTGCTAACCATGCCGGATAATGTTCAGAGATGCGTTTGGAAAGCGTGCGCTTTGTGCGGCCAATATAAGTAGCTCCACACGAACAGGTGAATTTATAAACACACATTGAGGTGGTCCAAAGCGGCAGTTTACCCTTCACGTATCAATTTCTACAGGCGACAGATGATCAACCGTATATTAAAATCGTAATTTGCACGTCTTCCGTATTTTGCTTTCGTGTCCTCCATTCATGTTTTCTATGTTGTTTCACAAGAATCGTTCATTTCTTCTCACTGCCATTCGATATTCTTGCAGATGGTATACAACTTTGAATATGTATCCGCATGCTGCCTATAAATGTTGTCAGTCGCACACGCCACATAACTTTTGTATGTTCCATTGCGGACATCTCTAAATGTTTGTGAACGGGAGCAGAACACTTCGCTGAGTTCCGTCCTCAACTTCATTTAGAGATTTAAGCCAATTTATCCATACCTACTAGCGGACCCTCGATCATTTATGCGGACAGCACATGTTGAAACGAGGAGAGAAATTTCTCCCCAAGCGTACTTTCATCGTCAGAATGACGTTCACCTACAGATGACTAGGCAAGTAGTCCCACAGGCAATACTATACCGTACAATTTTGATGACGCTCAACTTTTCAACAATTATAACGTAGACATTTGACCCATTCAAGGAAAACAACTGTTCCGTGTATATGGTGCAGTTTTTTTCATACGTATTTAGTGTGGTTCATATAAGCCTGTAAGCATTCGCAGTTTTTAGGGTATATTATTGTTGAATTGGAATCCATATATGACAAAGGCTTAAATTTATCCAATGGCAACCTCGCAGATCTAATACTCAGGGGTGTGATTTTTGATACACCAGCCAGTGGATTAATCATACAGACAGTGGGCTACCTGTTGTATTGTTACATGGAAATGCCATCTTCTAAATATTCGCATGTCTATCCCGCTAACATGTGGTCTTCTGCAAACGAGCACTGGTTGCCGAATGCAAATGCAGTCAGGTCACTATCAGGGTAAATCTTTATTTGAGAGATTGCATACTGATATGATAACTACTTATACATCAAGTAGTGTAATGACAGAAGACAAGGGCAAGGCAACAAATCCTTTATTGAGAAAATCATCAGATTTTTATGTACATTATTATTCGTTATTATTAGCAGAGAAACAGCGTCTTCTGATTGGCTGTTTTCTCGCTGAAAGTTATTCTGTCATCCCTTTGTGGCCGTTTTTCGTGAAGGTCAGACCATATATCTGCTAATC